AGATAGGATAGGGTATATAATTAAGAGCGACACTTACAACATCGAAAATTTGTTTGCTTATCTGCGTTTTGTCTATTATAATTAGGCCTATTTTTGAAAATGAAAATGTTTAAAATCCCTCTAGGAGATTGTGACTGATTACAGCTCAATAACCTTCGTTCCATCAACTTGGCACCGGCAAAATCAAGAACTGATTTCTCTTGAGGCAGACGCTTTCGAAAGAATCACCGTAACACCTCATTATTGATGTAATCTCTTGTTAATGACCAAAAATACAACCTCTGTCATAATATAGTTTGTCTAACTAGGCCTATATTTAAAAAGACGAAGAGGTCTACATTTCATTATTCTTTGGAGGGATAAAATGACTGAATGGAAAGTCAAAGGGATGAACTGATTACTTAGGCTTACGAATGTCATTTCTTTCAATTGGGCTGTGATTGATTTGTCGACAATAATAACACAACAGTTAGTCCTCTTATTTGTAAACGGAAAGGAATATATGGAATTCGGAATAACAACTTACTGGGAACACCAATGTATCAGATGTTACATTTTTCCAGTAAAATGTAGTAAAATAGCTTCCTTTTTGCCTGTACTGTATAATGTTTAGGCTTATTAGAAGAGCTTTTCTTACGCTATAATCAGGTGTAATGACAAATAAATATGCTAATAAATATTCCCTACTATAAATCCTTACATTGGCTGGTAGTCAATTTGAGGGTTTTTAAAGTGAAATTGGTATAAACTGAAATGATTTGATATCCTTACTATTATGTTTTATAACTTGACTCACGCTTGATATGAGAAATTGAATAAAAAATTTAAAAAATAAATAAATAAATAAACAGACATCTGTGCCACCTACCAACTTGATATTACGCATAAAAGTGATGATGATTTGAACTAGACAGGTATAAAGGTTGAATGGCTACTGCAAACAAATGGGAATAGCATTGTTTTAAAAGTCCTTGTACTCCGTGAGTGTAGCGGTTTCAACAGGGTCAGGACTCAGGACATCCTTTTATGTTGAGGATCCTGTCTTGGAGATAACGCAGACGATATGTACTACAATCAGCTTGCGTATTGTGTAGTCCTCGATAAACATACTACACTTCCGATGAAACTTTACGAATATAATTCCAGATAGTCCATTTAGATTTTAATATTGCCTTATTTTTACAAACCATATGCCTATTTTTGGTATTTTTTTTTAGCAAAACATGCTATAGTATTGCAAGCTTCTTGGAAAGAGGGAAAAAAAGCAAAGAACAACCAAACACCAGACCCCAGATTGCCAAGATTATTTTATCGTTCATTTGGCCGAAAACAAAAGTTCTTGTGTTGGTCACGTTCTGGGAAAAAAAAAATGGAAAGGCCTATTAGGGCGAGAGCTAGCAACCTAGAAGGTTTCACCCCCTATTGTTGGTTAGGCCGTCAAAGGCATTGAAAAAAAGTATGTAAGACGAACCCGGGGTTTGGGTCTGACCCAAGACCCACACGAAAACCCCAAAACCGGTCAATTTCACTCCATCTAGCACATAAACCAAATTTTGTCAGAACCCCAGTCAAAACAAAGTACGGTAAGTGTCATCATAAAAAAACACCTAAATTTTACATATCAGGTTGGGAAGGTGATGAAAGTACCGGTACCCCTAAATAGCCACGTTCCTAATGCATTGGCAAAACCTCCTAAATAAAAGTGTAGAGAAAATGCTCCCCATATTGCCCATGGACCAACATTTTTTCACAACGAAGTACTATCGGTGTACATCATGTAAGACCCCCTACAAATTACCGCCACCACCTAGTCACGTTCCTATCCTAATGCATTTGCAAAGCTTTCCTTATCTTCCTATCCACTCACTCCTGAAGATTGCTACTGCATGAAACAGCTGTAGAGTAAATTCACGCTCGACATAACCTTTCTATTATTACTATTACGTTCTGCATTCGCATATAGCACTAGGCCTATACGTCGCTGATCTGGACAATCATATTTTGTATATATATATATATATATATATATATATATATATATCTCTCTCTTAT